ATACTTACTAGAGGGTGACCTTAGGAAAATTACACAACCTGGCCCTGGTAGTGCAGTGGTTAAGGGTTTGGCTGCTAACAAAAAGTCAGCAGTTCGAATCCACCAGCCGCTCCTTGGAAACCCTATGGAGCAGTTCTACTCTGTCCTATAGGGTCGCTATGAGTTGGAATCGACTCTACGGCAATGGAGTTTTTTTCTTCTCTCTCTAGATCTTGTTTTTCTCATCTGAAAAATGAAGCTGATTATAATTCTCACCTAATAAAGTAGCAAATGTTCATCATCATCACATCCTTTTTAAGAGTTGCACAGAATTTCACTGTATGTACGTACAATCATTTACTGCTCCAATTCTCTACAAAGGGATAGACATATTTAAATGAAGAGAAGGAACTATTTTTATCAACCTGTAATAGGATGTTAAAATGAAAGTTTGGCTGAGACTATCTCTAAATATTAAATACCAAAGTGAGCGGTGAGACTGACGAGCCGGCGCTCTGACGAGTTGTTATCCTACTGGTGCATACCAAATTACCATCAAATATAGTGGCTTAAAATAGCAGCATTTATTATCTCAGTTTCTGGGACAATCCAGGCTTAGCTGGGTCCTCTGGTTTAGGGCTGCTCACAGACTGCAATTAAGGTGCTGAAGTCATCTCAAGGCTCCCCTGGAAAAGAATTCTCTTCCAAGCTCGCACATGTGGTCATTGGCAGGACTTAGTTGCTGTTGCGTTGTTGGATTGAGGGCCCCAGCTCCTCCCTGGCTGTTGGTGGAGAGTTGCCCTCAGTTCCTTGGCACATAGGCCTCTCCTTAGAGCAACCCACAAGATGACAGCTGGCTTCTTCCAGAGTGAGCAAGCAAAAGAGGCAGAGAGGAAGTGTGTACATGCAAGACCGAATTCAGTCTTTTGTGACCTGATTTCAGAAGTGACATCCCATTCCTTTGCTATATTCTATTTGTTAGAAGCGAAGTCACTAAGTGGTGCCAGCCCACACTTAAGAAGAGGGGATTGCATAAACGCCTGAATACCAGGAGGAATTCATTGGGAGCCACATTATAAACTGCCTATCACAGGTGGGGACTTGAAAAAATAAAAAAACTCAAAACCAGTTATAGGACTTGTAAATCTCTCATCCATATTGAAGGTATAAAAGGGTCAGATCCTAACAATTACTGAGTTTTGTCAAAATCTCCCATTATGTTTTTGTACTTGTCTATTTTCTCTAGTAAATGTTAATTTTTGCTTTATATATTTTGAGGGTAAGTTATTAGGTGCACACAAAGTTGAAATTGTTACATCTTTCCATAGAATTCAATATGTTGCCATTGTAAAGCAACTTTTTCCTCTGGTATGCTTTTTGCCTTAATAGATATTTTATTTGATACTAACATGGCCACATCAATTTTTGTTTGGTATTTGCACAACATGTATTTTCTACCCTTAAACTTTTCAGTTTTAGATTTTTTTTTTTTGTAAACAGCATGTATCTATATATTTTGTTTTGTTCTACACATACTATATATTTAACTGCATTACACTAAATTTGGATGAAAATTGTCTGACCTTTCTTGATAGAACAGTTAGGTTTTACAAGAAATCGTTCTTTTTTTTTCCCCCTGCAGCACTGGATATAGGTGAGGGGAAGGTGGAGATGGGCAGTAGAGAAGGCAGGTAAACAGTTGTGAATTTTATGTTTTTCTCTCCTGTAACCAAAATACCTTTTTATTTTTGCCAAATTAGCAAATCACTACTCATGTGAGATAAGAAATAACTACTTCTTTCTCCCTTTCCTCTTCTGTAAAGCCCTCAAACTTTTCCTAGGACATTTAGAGGGTCTCTCCCATAGTCCCTTGTTCATCCCCCTTATGGATTTTTTTTTCCTTCATCAGTGAAGGAAACAAGCCTTGCCTCGTGGAGTTTACAGTCTACTTTATATTTTAGTCCTGAAACAATCAGAAAGTCTGAAGGTGTGGCCCAGGAATTTGTTTTGCTTACATATTGTGTTTAAAGATCTGTTAGCTTGACATCTCCCCCACTTTGCCCACAAGCTCCCTCTGCTGGGAATACCTTTTGCCCTACTTTTACCTTGAAAAACTTATTCCTCTTTTTTTTTCCCCTCCCAATTTTTTTCCCTTCCTTTCTTTTCTTCTTTTTAAGCAAAAACTTCCCATTCCCTCCTCCCTCCAGCTCCTGGTAACCACTAATAAACTTTTGTCTCTATGCATTTGCTTATTCTAGATATTTCATACAAGTGGGCTCTCTGGTGGCACAGTGGTTAAGTACTTGGCTGCTAACCAAAGGTCAGGGGTTCAAACCTACCAGCCCCTCCATGGGAGAACAATGTAGCAGTCTGCTTCGGGAAAGATTTACAGCCTTGGAAACCCTGTGCGTTAGTTCTACTCTGTCCTATAGTGTCGCTATGAGTTGGAATTGACTTGATGGCAGTGGTTTTTTTTTGGAATAATTTTAAACATTTATCCTAGCATTTTTAGTTGTCTTCAGTGGGGGGTGAGATGGCGGGGTGGAGGAGGGGAGGTCCAAATTATCCAGATCTAGTTCATAATTACTGGAAGCTGAATTCTTCCCATGATTGCTTTGTGATTACAAATACCTGAGCATTATGACAGAAAATCATGAAGTGACAGATTAAAAATAATCTAAAATCTACACCCATTAAGTGTTTAGGGGAGATCTGAAGTATCTGGTTAAGGAATGTGGTGGTTTTTCTAAGGGACAAGGTTTAGCAACGAGATATGTTATGAATAGAAGTAGTGGCTATAGATGCATATAAGAGAGGGGCAGTTTTGGGACACATGGCTATTATCAGCTTAGTCCAGCTCTGCTCTCGGGAAGCTCAGTCCCATCTGCTTCCCCCAAATCCTATTCTCTCCAGGAGCAATCCACCTGCTGGCCTGTTACTGACACTTCCATCTTCCCAGCTTGTGACCTTCTTATCCTAGGGTGCAGTTGGGCTTCTGGACTTCTGACACATTAACCTCAGGCTTTTGCCCTAGAAAAGGTGTGTGGGAAGGTATTTCTGAGCAGGACCCTTTAGGACTTTTCAAATGGCCTCCATTTGAACATACCAGGCAGCTCTGACCTTCCAGACGAAGAGACTCGGGGGAGGTGAAAACAGTTATCCTGGGCGGCGTTGGGCCCTGGAGTAAAGCTCAGAACTTGAGCGTAGGAAGGATCTCTACACCATCACATGCACCTGTTTCATTTTATACATGAGAAACTGAGGCTCAAAGGGATCAGGTGGCTTACCCATCATCATACAGCCTAGAAGTGCCCTTCCCCCCACTGCTCATGTGCCTGCCTTCCTCAACACCATTACTTGCTAAAATCAGATTAAGATGAAGATTGGTTAAAAGTAGGGTAGAGAAGTGACGGTCTAAACTTTGTTGCAGATTAGAATCACCTGGAGATCTTTAAAGACTCCCTGCCCAGGCTGCACACCAGGCCAATTAAATCACAATCTCTGATACCAGGCATCTGCGGCACTGGACCCAGGGCAAGTAACGCAACTTGTCTGTGCCTGGGATCGGGGAAGGGTAGGGGGGGAACCAGCCATCTGGAGTCCCGTCCAGCTCTGGCATAGCATGGGCCTGTGATTCTGTGTGGGTAGAAGTGGTGGGTGATTTGAGGCTGCTCTGTAGCTGGGGATTTAGGGCTATTTTCAAATGGAGGAGAGACATTCTTGAGATTTGATGGTCTACAAGCTATTTCTGCATCTGGAGGAGCTGGGCCAGTCCAAGCTCTCTCAGTGTGAGATTTAAACACCCTCTCTGCTTGGTAACAGGAAGGAAGGCTGGCCCAATATCATAACACCTCTCCCCACCCTCTAGAAAACCTCCAACAGTGCTTCTGAATTGTTACATAGAGGCACTGGTTAACAATAAAATCAAGGTCCAATGAATTTTAACTTTAATTTCCATTTTCCTGAATTTTACATTGTAACATAAAAACATACACACACACACACACACACACTTATATACCCCTGCTACACAGCTTATGGCTTTAAGATATGTTACTGTAGCACACACAACTTCCTTTCTCTGAAGAAGCTATAACCTTTGTTTAGACTGTGTAAGCAGACAAGTAATGGATGAGTGGGTTGGAGCCTCTGTGATGTGGCCAAACTAGGAGTGGGACTTGGCCAAGGAAGCTGGCCACTGACCCTGTGCTCCTGACACACCTTTCACTCTCTGTGTGATGGGGGCCGAGAGTCACATCTGCAACCCCAGCCAGGCGCCCTCTCCTCCCCAGTTCATATCACGGTTATGGATTTCCCTTAATGATCTTTAAAAGAGTTCTGTGTTCTTCTGGTATCTTTAGTCTTAACTACTTGCTAGGGATGAGAAATATCAGCCTACCAAAAAGTTTTTTGAGGGCTCTCATTTTATAATTATTGCATTATTTATATTAATAAATTATCTGTAAAATGAATACTCAGTACATGTAAAGTGCCTGTAACGGTACCTGGCATGTACTGCACTGTAAGTGCTGGCTATTATTACCATTAGCATTACAGCTGAGGAAAGTTTAAGGTCAAGAGGGTGATGTCCTTGGTCTGAGGCCTAGGTGGGCATTAGTGCCTAGTCTCCAGTGCTCAGCTAGTGCAGTCTGAAGGATGTAGTCTTGGATAATGGACCTAGACCCCTTATTAGAGGTGAATCTACTGAGTTAGTTCTTTTATTTGTAAATTCCATAAAACAGACATCATGGTAAAGTAGCTAGAATATGGGCCTTGCCACACAACCTGGGTCAGAAGCCTGGTCCTATCCTTGACCAGTTATCTACATGACCTTGAGCCCAGGGTTTGATACTTTGGTTGAACAAACAAAAAAACCAAACTGTTGCCATCAAGTCGATTCCAACTCATAGTGATCCTATAAAACAGGGTAGAACTGCCCCCTAGGTTTCGGAGGAGTGGCTGGTGAATTTGAACTGCTGACCTTTTGGTTAGCAGCCGAGCTCTTAACCACTATGCCACCAGGGCTCCATTTCAGGTTACTTATCTGTAAAAACAGGGATAAAAATATCTACATGGTAGGTTTGGGTAGAGAAGAAACAGGGTACAACTCTACTTAACACAGATAAATCTCTTAAACATAATACTGAAGACGCAAACTACAGAAATTCATAGGTGACAGAATATGAAGTTCAAAAATAAGCAGAACTAAATAGTATTTTAGGAGTATCTTCACAGGTGTTAACACAATAAAGAGAAGGGGAAGGTGAACACAAAATGCAGGAAATGGTAACCTGGTGAGGAGGGCCATGGTAGAGGTGACTCGGGAGGGTACTATTTCTTCCCAGCTGGTAGTTACACAGGTGTTTGTCTCAATAATCTTAAAGCTGTACAAATGTTTTATCCACATATTTCACAAAAAAATTAGACAAAACACCTCATGAAGAGATCTCAGAAGTAAAGAATTACTAAACATTTGAAATGTGTTAAGAAATATTAGTTTTATTTAACCAGTTTTCACAGCTGAATATTTATTCTATAAAAACTTTACAGATTGTACAGTTTATATATAGTTCAAACTACTGAACAAAAAAGTAGGTCCCACAGATGCAAAAATACTGTACCAATCAAATCCCAAGGCAAAGGTAGATTTACACACTGTACAGCTCTCCATGCCGTCGGGAGGTGGTCAGCTCTAAGTATAAACTCCAAAACTATACAAAAATAAGGTTTGATTTTATTTCATTCTTCATACATTCAATATGATTGCAAGCTCAGAAGCCTAACTAATAAAAGGCATCTGTAGTCAGGAATCAGCACCCTCCCGGAAGGAAGGCAAAATGTCTATGTACACAGGGCACTCTTGGACACCATACTGTAGTCAGTATATTGTGCAGACATAAAAGCGTAGACAAAAAACATTAAATGTCTAATATAAGGTAGTTTTTTTTTTAAAGGAGTTTCTGCATTTAATAGTGTGCCAAAAGAATTTTAACTTATTAAATAAAATATATTCTAAGTGAACCTAAAAATTACACATTATAAACATAAAAATACTTCTTTTTGGTGTAATACATCAATTATATCTGCAAATAGAAAACCAAAACTATATATAAAGTAGTATTTCTCACCCAGCAACAAGAAGCATTTATGTAGTTATTTTTCAAAAGGGTCAAAAAACTAATTATTTAAAACCCACTAAGTCTAACTTATAACTTAGATATTCATACTTAAGCTATTCAGTGATTCACTAATACTGCAAAACAAGCTTTCTTCTAGAGAGACAGTGGTTTCTTCATGTTAACTGGGTAAGAACTGATATATTAAAAAAGGAAGGGGACCAGTTGATGTCTTAGCATAGACCCTAAGTGGACATTTAGTTTGGGTATGCTCATCGGGAACTTTTCATCAGAAAGTCATCCTAAAAGAGAAGCCTTATTTTTGATTTAGAATTTTCCATCTCTGAGGTATGTGTACCTTCCCGGAGACAAAGGCAACGTCTCAGATCAATCTTTATCGTTATCTGGAGCAGGGAAGGTGACGCTGGCTAACACCCTTTAGATTCTGTGCTCTAGAAGGAAAAAATGAGGGGAAATGACATTATTCCAGACTTTCCTGCCACCCAAAAACAGCAAAACACAATTCTTTTCCTTTTTATACAGTACTAGCCAAAGATAACAGAAACGAGAGCTTTGAGGAGCAGTGTAGTGCTCACCATTACACTTTCATACTTGTGTGTACATGAAGTATAAAACAATGACGTTTGGACAAAGGAGCTTTGTAGTTATTTATTGTAAAGTTACAGTACTTAAAAACTCCTTGATAATAAATAGCTTGGAGGTTCCTAGTCCTGGTTCCAAGCGTGAGTTATGGGTAAACTTATTTCAGGCTGTGAGGGTGGAGTAGGGCGACGTGGAGCCGCGGACGTCCTGCAACAAATAGTTCCAGTGTCGTTCATTAGGCACTCTGACAGTCAGAACTCATCGATCTTCCTCTGCAGGTATTTCAACATGGAGTCCATCCCTTGGGCTGAGCCCCAGATTTTCTTCAGCACTTCACACTCCCTCTCGTTCGCCTGTTCCAGCTCCATCTTCATGTTACAACGCACAAGGGCTTTGGACTCCTCAAGCACCTGGGCCAAACGACAAGCAGTAAGCCAGAGGGGCGTGTGTGTGTGTGTGCCCATGCTGGCTCCATGTCTTACCCGATTATGGAGGCAACCCTCCAAGTTGAGCAATTACCTGTTAAAAAGGCTGCCCCCTTTTCACAATACATGTCAGGCCTAATATCTGAATAAAGTATGTTTTACACCAGATATTGGATACACTCTCAGTTTCAAAATGGCTATTGAGCTACTGAGAATGGGGCTATCTGCAGCCCTAGCCCCCATGTGACTTCTGGCAGCCCACGAAGGCCTCGAACTGGACATCCATTCTTTTGATGATCGTGAAAAAAATGGTGAGAATGCATGCTGAGGGGCCAAAAGTTAATTTAAATAATAAGATGGCTGTTCATAGATACGTCTGGCATAGTTTGGACGGGAGTTGTGCCAGTTAATATTAAACAACACTTCATCCTGTCATTTGCTAAATGCAATTTTGTTGGCAGACGATTAAATATTTCCAGCACATTTATTAAACAAAAACTTAAGGGTCCACGGTGCGTGTGTGTGTGGGTGTGGGTGTGGGTGGGGGGAATGAAACACGATTCTATGAAAGGGCGCTGGGAACAGTAAACCCAAACTAAAAACCAAACCCACTGCTGTTGAGTCAATTCCGACTCACAGCGATCCTTTAGGACTGAGAACTGCTCCACAGGGTTTCCAAGATGGTAATCTTTATGGAAGCAGACTGCCGTATCTTTCTCCCGTGGAGAACAGTAAAGAACTGTATAAATGTTAGTTTCTGTATACATCTATAAAACCTGTTGCTGTTGAGTGGTTTCTGACTCATAGCGACCCTATAGGGCAGAGTAGAACTGCCCCATAGGTTTTCCAAGGAGTGCCTGGTGGATTCGAACTGCCAACCTTTTGGTTAGCAGCCATAGCACTTAACCACTGTGTCACCAGGTCCCCATCTATAGGACATGTTAAATTACTAAATTTCAGATAGCAATGCCAGATTAATGTCATTCTTTTAATTCTTGTGTATTTGCAAAGGGAGAGATCTGGAACCGCACTTATCAATTATAGTTTTTATCAGCATTTCACACAAAGGTGCTCTGTAGAGAGCAAAAGTGGAATATTTAGGAGATACTGTATTTGTGTGAGCTCTTTGGAGGAAAAGACCATATTTTAAAAGTAACATTTGTAAGAACAGTTAGACTTACAACTGGATTACATGAGGCAAGTTCCTTAATTCGAACCATCACTTCCTGTGTGAATGTCCCTGGCCAAAACACCTGGGAGACCAGTCCCTTGCCACATGCCTCCTGCGCAGTCAGCTTCCGTCCACTGAGCAACATTTCATTTGCCTGAAAGAGAGGATTCATGTTGATATGAAATGTGATAGATGTTACTGGTAAATGCTATAACATACACAATTTTGCAACAGCAGCAGTAACAAACCAAAAAATTCGTGAGTGGCTACACAGGTAGGTATGCATGCATATGTGTATAGGAAGGTATATGTGTGTATATACATGTGCATGTATAGGTGTATCTGTAGGCACATGCATATATACATGTTTGGGAGTACTGTATATATATTCATATCTATAATAAAGCACACAGGCAGAACAGTCACAGGTACTTCCCAGACATAACCAAACACCTCACAGGATTGCTTTACTGGCTTTGAAGGCTTAGGACCACAGTCTCGTGGGATAACTAGGTCAACCAGCACAACATAGTCCATAAAGTTTATGTTCTACATTCTAGTTTGCTAACTAGCGTCTTGGGTCTTAAAATCTTGTGAGCAGCCATCTAAGATAAAACTACTGATCTCTACTTGTCTAGAGCAAAAGAGAAGGAAGGAAACCAAAGATTCAAAGAAGTAGCCTACACGACTAATTGCATACATGAACCATGGCCTCATCTATCCTGAGATCAGAACTAGATGGTGCCTGGTTACCAGTACTGACCCTTCTGACCAGGGACACAATAGATGGTCCCAGACAGAATAGGATAAAATTGTAGAACAAAACTCAAATTCTTAAAAAAAAAAAAAAAGGCCAGACTTATTGGACTGGTAGAGACTAGAGGAACCTGAGATACCCTTTAAACTTTGAACTGATATCACCTGCAGAGGTCACCCTTCAGCTAAATAACAGATTGACTCATAACATAAACAATCACTCATGAGTACTGTGCTCCTTAAAAAAAAAAACATCTATATGAGACCAAACAGTCAACATTTACCCTAAAGCAAAGATGAGAAGTTTGGGGGAGGGGGGTGGCACAGGAAAGCTAGACTGTACATGGAACAACCAGAACAGAAATGATGAGACTGTTGACACAACGCGGAAAATGTGACCAATGTCACTGAACAACACGTACAGAAATTGTTAAATGGGAACCTGATTTGCTGTAAACTTTCACCAAAAACACAGTAAAATATTTAAAAACAAAAAAGAAATGTGATGGGGAGGCAGGAAGAAAACCCAACCCAAGAAATTCACCCTCGATATCCAACCCCAGGATTGACTGGTGAAGACGCCTGCCCTGGCTGGGCCTCTGTTTCACAATCTCCAGGGTCTGGTCTCCGAGCCACTCTCCAGGCCCTTCTACCAAGAGTGAGCCACTCCTGAGGTGGTCATCAACTAGGTGATGGGAATGTAACATACCGGGCTGTGATTACAGAAGTATGTAAAAGGTTAGTTTTATTGTCTAATACAGAATCGCAAGGACTTAACCAAGAAATCTAAATTATAAAAGGTCTGTTTGTCACTAATTTGAAAAGTTATTGGCATGACCTTCTCCTCTGCACTCCTTTCTCAGGCATTAACTCATTTAATACATAAAACAATCCTGGAAAACATAAGAGAGAGTCTCCAACGGAGCAGGAGAAAAGTGGGGTGAAGAACTCAAATTCTAGTGAAACAACCAGGCCCAGCAGTGGCTACTGTTGAGGTGCACGTGGTGTGTCTGGGATCATCAGGCACTAGCACCGGTGAGCAGTTGTAGCTGTACAAGCAGGTGGCCCAGACCCCCATGTTAGCCACCACAACTGCACCAGTTCCCTTCCCTTAGCTGGCACCTGTGGCCACATGGGGACTTCAGTGACCGAGGCTGGCACAGAAAACGGGGATGGCAACTTTGCTGAGCCTCGCCCAGCAATGCTAGGGAAACCCCCTCTAAACTGAAAGACATGCCTAGTCGGTCACTTTGCACAGAAGGAAGCGGATCAAGGTGGGAATAGACACTAATCCATGGGCCGTGGTGAATGCCTGGCTGGTGTCAGGGGCCTGAAAGAGAAGGGGGGGAAGACTGAGGACAATGCATGTTGTGGATCTATGCGGAAGTGTGAAGACTGCGGCATCTCATGCTAATGCCCCCAGGGAGCACCCATCACAGACTAAGCAAGACAGGGACGTCAGCCCGTGTTGGTCACCAGCTACCCCAGTGCCAGCACATGGACACTAGTGGGCAGCCTCAGTGTGAGTGATGGAGCTGTGCCCGGGTAAACCAGCCAGCATGACCTCCACTCACTGAGGCTCATTTAGCTACTATGGGCTGCTGAGTGTCCAACTTGGCAGCCAGATGCCCCAATGTTGAGCCCCTTAAGGACATCATTCTTGCGGCTACCACCCAACCAGCCACCTGGTGAAAGATGATTTAACAAGACTGACACTCCTTCTGTGTGTGGGCTGCGTTCCCTGCCTGCAGGGCCTGAGTCAACATCACTCTGAGCTAATGGAGCACATGCTCCACCAGCATGGGATGTCACCAGCATCGTGTCAGGCCAGAGACCTGCTTCACAGCAAAGGGAGCACGGAGTGAGCCCAGTACACCAGAAGGCGCCATCCAGAAACGGCCAGCCTAGCGGGAGTGGAGTGGCCAGAGGTGCAGGTGAAGCATGGTCGGGAGATGGCTTTATGGGGATGGGTACCATCTTCCAATTTATAGGACACACACTGTACCAGTGGCCTACATCTGGTCCTGTGTCTCCAGGAGGAAGATGCGTCATCCAGGAAACAAGGGAGGAAGTACGTACAGCCTCACTTTCCATCACTCCTGATAATCTACTGAGGGATGCCTGTTTCCTATCCTTTCTTCTTCAGGCTCTGCTGGGCCCCAGAGGGGGCACATGCCTGCCAGCGACACATCAAGAGTCCCCCTGAACTTAAGAGCTATGGCCACTGCCTAGACTCTGTGTTCCCTGTGTCTGGGGCTGGCAGGCAAGGAATTTCATCCTAATAAGGTTATCTGACCTTGCTAAACGGGAGGAGCCTGGCCCATTGTTACACAATAGGGCAGGGCAGGAACCCAGAGAGCTGCGTGGGGCCTCTTGGTACTCGCCTGTTAACTGGACAAGTACAAGCAACTCTACCCTGGGAATGTCATGGTGATCAGGGCGAAGACCCCTCGGGGATGAGGGTCACACCATCAGGCTAGCAGAGGTGGTGGCTGTTTGCGTGTGTGTGTGGTGGGGGAAATCTAGAATAGTGAAGGATGATGATGAAGATACCATATGGCCCTGAGACCAGTGGGCAGTGGGGGCTGTCGCTGGTCCTATTGATTTTCCTCTGCCTCTTCTTCTTTCATATTTTAAACTTTTTGTTTTCTGAGTAAGTTCAGACTTACAGAAAAATTGTACAAGCAGCACAGAGAGTTCCCATATATCCTTCAACCAGTTCTCCCTAATGTTAACATCTTACAATAATCAAACCCAGAAAATTAACAATGATATAATACTAAACTACAGGCCTTACTCAAAATTCTCCAGTTTTCCCACTAATGTCCTTTCTCTGGTCCAGGTCCCTAAACTGCATTCAGCTGTCATGTCTCCTTAGTCTCCTCTAATCTGTGACTGTTGCTCAGTCTTCCCTTTTGTCTTTTATGACCTTGATACTTTTGAAGACGACTGGTCAGCTATTTTGTAGAATGCTCCTCAGTTTGGTTTTGCCTGGTGTTTTCTCATGATTAGACTGAGGCGATGCATTTTGACATGAACAGCACAGAAGTGACGCTGGGCCCTTCTCAGCACATCATATCAAAGTGTACCAGAGGTTACTAAGTTTTACTAGGCTAACTCTGATTACTTTGTACTGTGATGCCTGCCAGGTTCTCCACTGTGACATTACTGTTTTCCCCTTTGTAAGTAATGAGAAGAAGCAAATATCCCTTTTCTCATACTTTCACCTACAATTTTAGTGTCCACCAGTGGTTCTTTCCTGATGGCAGAAGGGGTGGACTGTGGTGGTCACAGAGACATGCTGCCCAGACCTCCTTCAAGGAAGGTTTGCTGTCCCAGCTGCTGGGAGTATGTCAGATAGCCATCAACTATCAGCCTCTTCAGGGTTCACCTCAGTTGCAGAGCACCTCCTTGTTCAAGGGCACACACCCTTCCTGGGCAGCCCGCATCCAATGGCTGGTGGACATAAAGGCCCAGCTGCTTCAGCCCCCCTGGGACAACTGGGGCCGGCTGCTACGCTCCAGAGCTCCCCACGGGCCTGTCAGAGCCGTCGGGCCTACGTCCTTCTCCCTTTCTTCAACAGGTGCTGATTACCTAATAATTCTCCTACATGCCAAGCTTAGTGTCTGCTTCTGGGGAACCCAACCCATGACACTATCACTCATCCTATTTCAAGGAACCAGGAATGAGATACATGTAATTGCTTGACAATCACAAACTACAGTACAAACACAAACTATTATTATGGATGGATTAAACAGTTAAAAATAAAACCCCAACAGTATGTAGAAAAAACTCTTAAGCTAGTCTTGCTCCCTCATTCCTTTCTCTTAAAAGTGCGGCTTTCAGTTTACCAGGTAAAGAGCCTTTCAATTGCAAACTGTGTCTGTTTGGGTTTCAAACTGGGTATTTAATAATGTCAAAAATCAGTGTTAGTTATAAAAAGATATAGACTCCTCTCTGAATGAGTCCTTCTCTAGCAAATGATGCAAAACACTTGTCGATAAACACTCTGGGAACCAAAATATGGAAAGCTTCTATGGTTTAACGAAGAACATAAGTTAATGAACAAGAAATGAATTACAAGTACATTTGATGGAAAGTTCTCACAGAATGACACTTTACATATATTTAGAAAAATAATAATCAAATTAAATTTCTTCATGAAAGCTTCCAGAATGAGTTTTTAAAAAAGTACTCACAGACGCTCCTCCCATAATCTTGGGAAACATAACGGTGGAACAGCCATCTGGACTCTGTCCGAAGGTGGTATAGGGTGTTTGAAACCAGGCTTTCTCATTAGCCCAGACCACATCACAAAGAGGCAATATAGATGCTCCTAGTCCAATGGCAGGGCCATTTACTGCTACAATAATAGGCTTCTTAAACTGAATAAAAGTATTCACAAAGTTTCTAAAATGAAGAATAAAAATGAGGAATTACTCAAAACATTGCATATTCAAGCAGCAGAAAAGTCTACCTTTTTATAATTTAATTTACTAAGTACAAACTTCATGGAAATCATTAAGAGTTGAGGTTCATTTAAGACCTTCCCCTGGGAATTGTGGACCATGGATTTATTTTCTGCATGTTATAAAGGCTTAATGATTACCCTGACTTCACGCCCCATGAAGGAAGTAGCTGTGGCTTAACTACCTACGTGAAATGTGAACATTACGGTTAAATCACAGCCAGAGGTTGTTCTTGTATTTGCAGGCTGGCTTTTGGGCTCTAAGACCAATACATCTTGTTCCTCAATATTTCTTCCCTTTGAGATATAAGGAGCTCAATAAACATTTTGGGTTTCCTATGACCAATCAAGAAGCTATCCCAGAGAAAATGTGGCAAGGGGGGATACTGAGAAGAACAGTGGACCAGGGGTCAGAAGCCACGGGGTCAGGCTTAGTGTGTGATCCTGGACAGCTCACTGATACTTTTGCAACTACAGATCTTTCCTGAGTTTATACTGAACTATACCTAGTAAAATGGGGGATGTGGAGGCAAATGGCTCACAAGGCTGGTGTAAAACCCGAGATCAAAAACCAAGATGGACAAACAGAGACGTGTGCCCGCCAACTACATCCTGCTCCTCTGGGTGGTATGGGAGCTCAAAGGAAGGGAGACAAGGAGAAGGTGGCTTTCGAAGAGGATGTGGACGTTTACAAACTGAGTCAATGCTATTTTTGGATGTGTTTTAGGATTAGACTGGAAAAGCAGGCTGCTTCTCAATTTTGGATAGGTTGATGGCACACCACACTGGGAATGTGTACCTTCTTCCTAGATCCAAAGCTGGACTTTACATTCAGAGGTTGTTTCTTGTTAGGTTTTAGCACAGTGGAGAAGAGGGCGAACACTCACTGAACTAAATACAATCTGAAGTCTAGCTCAGAATTACAGACTAAACAGAGCTTCTCACACATGGGATTCTGAACCTGACCCCCATCTTCAGCACTGAAAATAACAGTCTAAATGCGCTCTAAATTCTGCAGTTTAAAAGCAGACCAGTCTGCTTGGATCTTCTCTGAAAGCCATGACTTGGCATCTTAAGATACCCACCCCGCCTTAATGACGGGGTGGTATTTTTCTTCACTAATTTATTTTTTTGAGAGGGGCAGGTTAGAGGTGTGGAGGTAGGCGTGTGTGTGAAAAACGGGAGGGGACAGCAAAGAGAAGGGGTGTGGAGTTTAGCAGCCTATAAACCCAGCTCCAGCCACTCTCTCAAAAGCTCCCTGCAGGCCCTTGCAGACCTAGCTCCGCTCCCCTAAGGTCTGCAGGATCTTTCCATTGAGTGAGAATTAACTCATTCAAATGAATGAGTTGCACTAAGACTTTCTAAATGAGAGTGCCTGAGGCATTGTTAGAAAGATCACACTGGGTTTTAATGATACAAAGAAAGCCAGACAACCTTTTAAACAGACTCTGGAAATAAGTGCAGACAACCTACATTAAGCTACTTCAGTTCTGCTGCCTTTTGAGGATTCTGGGTCAATGACACAAGATGGAAAACATTTCCTGTCTCAGTTACTGACTACTCATGACAAGGTAACTGCTGAAATCGTCTCCACCACATGGAGCAGATGTTTTCCAATCATGACCCCCAAGGGCCCCAGAGCAGCTCCACTTTAATCTGTCTCACAGAAACAGGTTGCAAAATATAAATTGTTTCAGTACTCGAAACATCTGGAAACCAGTGACGGGGTGACAGGTTAACATAAAATTATCAAACTCAGTGTAATAATAATTCTACAGAGAAACATTAAAAATAAGTAAATACTTCTTGTAAGTACCTCCTCCCCTAAATGTTATGTTTGTGTAAAAGAAAAAAAAAATCTGCTTTTAAAATAGGTATTACAAAAGCAGAACTTGGATTTTGACAGGCTGGAGAAATTTCTTGGAATTAAAAAACTGTCCCCCGCAAAAATCAGTTTTATTTTTTTGCTGGAATGATGACAGATTGTACATCTACTTCTACTTGATTTGGACAAAAACTTCATCTAAAACCAAGGGCTACAGCTGAGAAGGGTGAGCTAACCAACACCCACTGGAGAGAAGCTATCTTCCCCTTTTAGAGGACACAGCCTGGCCATTGTCATGTGTGAGATGATGCCACAAATGAACACGGTCCCCAAAGAAATCTGCTTTGTTTTAAAAACAGAAACAACCAAACATCTTCATGGAAATGCTTTTTCTGTTTAGTTGAAACTTCCGAAGGCCCCAGAGGACTAGTCAAAGCCACCCTGCTATTAGGTAAGGAGGTGGGAACGGAGCTCTCAGGAGACACGGCGCTCAAGGAGGGCCTGTCCACTGCTTGTACAGTGAGTGTATTTTAAAACTTACAATAAAAATGCCCGAAAAGTTCAAACGTGCACAATGCAACATACTGAATTTAAATGTCAGTTTCCTCTGAATTACTATTTGAGTATTGAGTTAAAGGCTGTTGAGTATGGCAGAGAAGGAAAAAGACTACATTTAACACAAATTTAGTTAAAAAGAATTATAATTAAACAATAAAATATTCAGGCTTTTGAAGAACATTTGCTAATTCACAGACATCACCAAAACACTAAAGGGCAACAGTTTAGGAATTGTTTGGGAGAAACCAGGCCACAAACACCCGAAGTTGTAAGACCCAGTCAGTCCACTGGCACTTCTCAGCTGGGCTCACCGCTCTTTCGGAATGTACAGAATAGGACCGAGTGGAGCAGAGAGACATCAAGTTCTAGCTGCACTCTATGCTCTCTCTATTCTCTCCTCAAATCCTCTAGTTCTGGGAACTGCTCAGTCAGGGGCCTCCTTGTCTCACTCCATCGGGGTAGAAGACACCTTACTTCAGGTGAGGAGGTTCTCATCCTCCAGACACAGTGTAGCAGCTAGCTACCGGTTCCTACAGGTGTCAAAAGCACGATGTTTTAAACTGATCTGCAATATTTTTGTTTTTAATCACCAATGTGCTTAATCTTTTATTACAATTAATCTGCATACTGGTTATTTTTGCAGTTTGCACCAATTCCAATAACAATTAATTGCTCTAGTTAACTGACAACCTAATGTTTAACCTAATCTTCATTTTTCCTGCTTTTCTTGTGGAAAGAAATCTGAAACAAGACTACAGTATGTTAAGATACCACAGAAACTATATGTACATATCCCCTAACACCTGTTGCCGTCAAGTCCATTCTGACTCACAGAGTAGAACTACCCCATAGGGTTTTCCAAGGAGTGGGTGGTGGATTTGAACTGCAGATCTTTTGGTTAGCAGCCAAGCTCTTAACCACTGCGCTACCAGGGCTTCTACACACACATGCACACACACACACACACACACACACACACACACACAAAACTTTGTGTATATAAGCCAATTTTATACATGCAAAAATTAAATGCAAATGAGCGCAAGTAAAGGTTAAGTGAATCCAGTGTAATTATTTTTCTGATCCTGCCAGAGTATAGTTTAAAAAAAAGAAAAAAAAAATCACAATTGACACAGATATACTCATTTAAAGAAGAAACAATTGGGATTTCCTAAGGCAGGGCTTGGCTTTTTCCTAGAATTTCAATTCAGTGTTTTGGGGTGGAGTGAGAGGGGAGGGATGGGAATGAGGATGTGCTGAAATAAACATTCAAAGTAACCTAAGAGTTCAGCAAATGAGATCTCTATTTAAATCTCTCTTGGTTTATCTTTCCTCTGCTTTTTCTAACCCCAACCATAAAGCCTTACTCATTGCCAAGGGCAAGTCAACACTGCAGGAGTAGGTATAACAAGGGTTGAGAACTAGTCAGAAGTGGTGCCCAACGGGGGAAAGTCAGCAAGGGAAAGCTGAGCCAGAACTTAGAAGGCAGTGGCTGACAAAATCCTATTTTCTTGTTCAGCGAAGTTACCGAAAAAAGTTTTAGGTATAAATTTAGTGAGATACAACAGAAAATATACAAAGTCACCACATGATGCATAATGGTTAAGATGGCTTGTGTCTGAGAAATGAAAATTAAATTCACGTAATTCATTCTGAAAGGATGGGAAGGGTTAATAATTAGGAATGTAGACAAGCTGTCATAAGGTACAGCCAATCTTTCATGGGATTAGTGCATTGATCAAGTAATTTATTTTCAAACAACAAAATGGTCCCATCTAGAGTCTACCACACATTTCAAATTATTTAGGAAACCAGAAATAATACTTAATAAAATCAGATAATAAAATTACAAACTATTTCTGGAAAAAACAAAAACAAAAACCGAAAAACAACTATCATATGATAGCCTGAAAAATGGTGATGTTCAAAGGGGCCAAAAAATAGATAGCCTCTTAAATGCATGTGTACATAGTAGGAAAAAATACATTATTTTTGCGAACAATGGAAAATGTCATAAAAGGTCAAAGACCCATCACCCCCAAGTGTGGGGTCCCAAGCCTCTGATGGGCTGTTTAGGGCAATGCTGCCAGAACCATTTTGGGAGATCTGTCAGAATAGAGATGCCTGCCCTACAGAGACCCACCAAAACAGAAAAAACAACCCTCACCAACCCTACTGTACACCCCTGGAATGGTGAAGAAGACCAGAAAGCCCAGCTCCCAATGTCAGTCATGCCCAGAAGCTTGGCCAGGCAAACCCCATTAACCACCAAGGAAATTAAATTTCAGTTCTCCAAATACCTGGAGATGTTGGAGAAGATCCAACCAATTTTATTGCCATTTTGCAAGTCTGCATCTCCTTAAATTGTATCTCTGCAAATTACAAAAACCAAAACAAAGGATTCTTAGGGGTCCAGATATGTCGTTTTAGGGAGATGAGTAGGGAGAATGAAATGGTCTTTCTGGTTGGTGACTGGGTTTCATTCACTTTAAATGAATTTATCTCTGAAAAATTAGACACTTATAATTATACACATGGTAATTTGCATGGTAAATGGGGGATATAAACTAAATATAAATCTGGATATGCTTAAGCAGAGTTAATGGTTCCCGGGAAAGCTTTTTGGCCTGTTATGATAGAGCAGTAGTAAACTGACAACAGAGAAAATGAAAATGTTTCATACTGTTAAATGGAAAAGTAGATTATAACACAGTATAATCACATGCATTAATAGAACTAAAAATAAGTCTATATTATTTGTATAGACACATACACACTTGAAAATACTTAAAAAAGGCTGCGGAAGACACACAAATTAATAGTGGATACTTGCGGGGGTGTAAAAGAAGGGGAACCTTTTCTTTCTACTCTTTATTATCCAGCTTTCTGTGTAACTGGAACTTAAGATGAACCTAAACAAGAATGTGTACTGCTTATATTAAAAAAATATTTTCATGTGATGTTAATATGGAACTAGCCTGTTACAAAGACTAGCCAATTTGAGTCATGCAAATGTTATTATTTGGGGAAAAAAAAAAAACTTAATTCAAGGGTTGAAGACAGAATAAATACATAGCACAGATAGGAGAATCTCTGGCTATACATTATTGTGTACTATGATCGTTAGAACATTCACTGAGTACTCCCTGGGTTTAAGCCAGCCTTGAAATCAGTTATTAGCCCAAGGCAAGTAGTAATTTATGCCAGGCCCATGGAAAAGACAGTTGATTTAATTAATCTTGCTACTAAGTCTCTCGGTGGAAGATGGACATTTTATTCACAAGGCCTGTTGGGCCTGTTTTACTGGGGAATATGAAAACAAGACCCCCAAATCAATGTCGTTTTTACATTACATACCTGATAGCTTCTGCCATCTTAGTGCTTTCTCTTTTTCTATCATCTGTTAAGCGCCGTATAAAATAAATAAAGTCGAGACCGCAACAGAAGACGCTGCCCACGGCGCTAAGCAGCACCAGCTTGCTGTCGTCAGCAGCAGCTGTGTTCAGCGCACTCTGGACTTCCTTCATCACCTGAAAGCCACCAGAAGTCAAAGTGGTAAAGAATATTTTTGATACAGAATCTAAAAGCATTTTATTACTGGATAATCTGGATCCATGGAAAATGCATTTAGAGTGATATTGTCCCCTCTCTACTATGACTTTAAATCACTTGTACATTTCTTACTTTCAGTAACGAGAGATTGGGAATGCCAGGGGCAGAGTGCAAGTGTAATTACACAACTCATTATAAGTAGAGTATAACTAGAAAGCCACATGACTCTAAGTTACCTTAACATTCAATAGTCCTTGAGGTTCTCAATAGGTACAGCAAGTTACTTGTTGTATTCACTTGACACTTCTACAGTTTGGACAGCAGGTGGCACATTCAACCAGTTCAAAGAAACTAGTCCAGCTCCTATTTTTATTTTTTTACCAGCCTACCACACTTAGGGCAGAAACCAAAATAGTTTAGTGCATAAGTGCATTAAGTACAAGCACATGAACATGGAGGGATAGTTTTGGAAGGGCACAGAACCATTTTAAAATCATCTCTATGAAGCATTTAAAAATAACCAACCCAGCAGGGAGGCAAAGGGGCTGTGCAGTCTAAAAATGTACTGGGGACCAGCCCTGAGCTTGTTTGCTAGGTGACCCTGGCCAGAGACACAGACTTTCTGTAGTTTGGTTTTCTTGTCTCGAAAAAACGTGAACCTAGCTGCTCACAAGTGGAAAATAAACAACTACTAGAACTTAAAATTTTGGTAAAGCATAGTTAGTGCAGGTTCAAATATTCCAGACTGAAGATACTCCATAGAATTAGTTTTCAAACCTTTCCACTCTCCCCTACCCCGACCCTGGAGCTTATTGTACAGGCACGACCAGCAGTGCATGTGTGAAGTCACTGTAGCCCTGCTCTGCTACAATGCTGAAGAGCATCTGAAGACTAGGACTGATGAGGAAGTATGCTGAAGGGGCTAGGGCCTGGGGCGCTGTCATCTGTCTGAACAAAGAACCCATCAAGAATCTGATGAAGCTACAGAACAGCACATGCACGCACACGCTCTCTATGTGATTTTGGGAGGCCCCCCTCAAGCCCTCCAGACTGAGGGCATCTGGCTTGGGAGGTGAAAGAGGACAAAGACACACTATCATTTCCCATCACAGCCCGCAGTGGGGACCACGTTGACCCATGAGGATGAAGACAGCACACTCTCCCAACGTCACCGTGGTCACACACCCGACAAACGTCACCACTGTTTCCTGCCTTCTGGCAAACATGGTGAACCAGTCCAGAAAGAGACTTAAAGAGAGAGCACAAGGAAGAGCGCCAACTCAGCCAAGCAGTGCACAAACTAACCTCGGACAATCAGGGCTTGGACAAAGATTAATACAACCCACCCCAAAGAAGAGTATCTCACCTCTGGATTTAGTGAATTATTCTCTGATGATTTTGTTGACAACAAGATGTGGGTGAAACCATCCTGCTTCCTGACGACAATATCTCTGTATCTGTAGGCACTTTCTGTTTGCCTCACACTGAAACGCAACCGCTTGTCAAAAGGCTGGTCTCTTCTGTCGTCAATAAATTTCCTTTTCCCGGCTGTCACTCCTGTAACAGATGTCTGTATGTTGGTTGTTCCATTGGCTGTTAATGCATCGATAAATGGAGATGTACCTGCCAAGAGTTTGAAATCACAGTGGTCTGTGATGTCCTACCACCAATCCACTCCCCAGCGTCCTCTTTGAATTATGTAAAAATGCCCATTAAAAACCCAAGACTTAATGCACTAATGCAAGAACATTAAAAATCAGAACCTTTAGAAAGGTTTATTTTGAAAGGCATTTGGCTTTTCTTCAGAGTCTGAAAAAGAAAGCACCCTCTTATCTTGCCTAAAAAGTAAAGACAAAAATACTTACTGCAAAGAAGCTACAAAAGTTGAGACTTTTGAAGAATGGAATTGAAAAAAAAGAATGGGCCTCATGCAGAGTGCCTATTCGAGGTTTGACAAGTTGGAAGAAAAAAAGTAAACTTTTCAAGAAAATATATTATTATTAGAATTGAGTCATTTGCCATCTAGTCAAAATCTATTCTTCTGAATGCAAGGTAAACCAGTTGCCGCTGAGTTGATTCTGACTCAAGGCAACCCCATGTGTGTCAGTGTAGAACTGTGCTCCACGGGATTCTCGATGGCTCATTTTTTGGAAGTAGATTGCCAGGTGGATTCAAACCTCCAAACTTTCAGTTAGCAGTCAAGTATGTTAACTATTTGCACCATCCAGGGACTCCAAACACACGGTAGATGTTATGAATACACCCAACGCAATCACCCCACCTCTACTGGTACACTGAATGGTGACGAGGAACCACTTCCAACCACCACCACCTTGTGGGACATTCTAAAACTTCAAAGTTCTTTCTGATCCTGCCCTGGGATGTGATTATTTAGAAGATCCATTCTGTGGTCTTAGTTCTACTACTTTTTAAAATAGCCCTTGAAATATCTGAAGACAATTATCCTCTCTCCCACCGCACAGAATGTTCTGTTAATTTTCCCTCATGCTGCTCATCACCAAAATGGTTTTTCAGTATCAATCTTAAGATGGCAGTCTCCTGAACTTTATTTATTATAATAAAGTCAAGGGTTTCATTTAATACTTTACTAGAGTTCCCACGATATGTTAGTGTAAGAATTCAAGACAGACAAATTATTATCCTCCTACATATGAACCTAATATCATCTAACTTGGTAATGAATGCAATTTGTGGATAGGGAAAAAAAGGCAAGAAATGTAAAAACACTGGATTAGGCTTTACTAATAAAATTAGCAATGCTGGAAGTTTAGGAATCAAAAATATTTCCTCCAAATGAAAGAAAATAAACCAAAGGACTCCTGAATGGAAATTTTAGGGAAGCCAAATAATCTCCTTGGCAAAACAAACCTGACTTCTATTTAGTTGGTGAAAATAATACTATACATCATCTTAATCTTCGGAGTTTTTATAAAAAAATTTTTTTGAAACATTTGATAGGTTATAATACATGTAATGTTATTCAAGAATCTGAAAAGATACATGGCAAAAGGTCTTCCTCCACCCTCCAGTCAGCCGCTGGGGTTGGTTTCTCATGTATCTTTCCAGAGTTTCTTTACATATATATAAGAAATGTGAATATATATTTCTCCCCCCATCCCTTTAAACAAATGGTAGTATACTAGACCTAGTGTTTTGTTCTATCTTGTTTTTTCATTCATTTGATAATATCTTGGAAAGATTTCTCTATCAGGATATAGCTTCCTTATTATTTTCCAAGGCAGTCCATCCACTGTGTGGATGTACTATAACGCATTTTACCAACCTGCACTGGAATACACAACCAGCACCCACTGATCTTTTGATATCAGAAACAATGATGCCATGCATAACCTGACCTATGCCATCCCGCTGCTGACAAATCCACAGGACACATCCCTAGAAACCAGCCAAAGGTCATAACATCTTTTGAATGAAATTGTTGAAGTGCCCTCTAAAGGATTTATACCCAGGAATATTTCTAACTGAAAGAGCATTTGAAAAAATACTATCACTATAATACACTGCTGTTGAGTCCCACCTTCTGAAGAACCCAGCAATGGTCTTTTAACCTTCAACCTCTCCTTCTCTACCAGATCCTGCCCCATCTGTGTTTAACAACATTCTCCCATCTTTTCTACTGTACAGAACCTCCCCCCACCCCCAGCCAAATCTGCTCTTCTTCTCAGCCGCTCTTCCCTCTTCTCCCCCAACCTCAGCCTCACCTGGTCTACATTTTCCATCTCTATTTTTCCCTCTGCTCATCACTTCCCAACCTCTCCAATCTGGTCAGCTAGAATCAGCATCACCAGATAATTTCTTGAGTGTGGAGAAATAAACCATGGATTATTCTAAACCTTTAAGCCTGGGTGATCAGGAGATAGGAGGCATCCTAACCCGAGTCTGGAGAAGCTGGGGGAGGAGAGGAAGAGAATCTGGTTCTATCCATGGTGGACATCAGGCGGAGATGCGATAGAGCTCAGAGGTGCGGTGGAGAAATGCAGGTTGGAGATTAGTACTTGGTTGCCCAGAACCGATGGCTAGACGGACAGGCAGGAGATCCAAAGGGCTGACCAGGGTGAATGAGCCTTTTCTGAGTGCTAGTGGAGCGTGGGAAGGGCCCCACGGGGCCAGAAGCAGCAGGAAGGAAACAATGTCATGGCAATGAGGATGTGTCAATAGCGGCACGTGCTCCAGAGACAGAAATGATGGGAGGGGAGGTTACAGACCACTAGTAAACCTGGGCCAGTCATTTCACTAGACTGCTTAGGGCAGAAGGCAGACTATCGATACAACCAAAGACAGGCAAAAATCATTAAATAGAAAAAAATATTCAAATCAAGAATTTGTTAAAATGTGCTAAGGAACACAGAATATTTGAAAATTTAATGCATATCACACTAAAAGTAAAAAGATATCATCTGTAACCACGAGGCTTAGGGTCTGAGGAATAAACACAATTTAACTCCAGCTCCTATTCCTCTGGTTCCAAATCCAAGGAAATCTTCTGGGGCTAAACGACCCTAGAGAAATACAGTTGCAGGCAGGAGGACATGTACACTTAGGTGCTGGCTGAGAATAATGATGTTCCTGCCTGACCACATCAAGAGGAATCCTGTGCAGAGGCAGACTGGGAGGCCACGTGGCACGGTTAGGGGTGGTGAGGACACAGACTAGGGCAGGCAGAGGCTTGCATCCTTGGGAGGAAGGGCTCCTGCAGGGCACACACCCAGTGTACCAACACTGTCATGTGAGGGACATCTCAGTCTTTAAGGGTACTAACCCTGAACTGAGAGGAGCCCTTGTGGCGCAGTGGTTAAGTGATCAGCTGCTAACTGAAAGGTCAGCAGTTCTAAACTAACAACTGCTCCATGGGAGAAAGATGTGGCAGTTTGCTTCTGTAAAAATTACAGTTTTGGAAGCCCTATGGGGCATTTCTACTCTGTCCTAGAGGGTTGCCATAAGATGGAATTGACTCGACAGCAAGGGGTTTTTTGGTTTTGATACCAGGACCAAACTGGTGCCATATCAAGCACAGTAAGAGCAGTCCTGGCACACAGGGGGAGACACGTAGAGTACTGGGGGCTGCCTCTCACCAGGACAAAGGCCCCTGGCTTTGGATCAGTAGCTCCCAAACCTGAACTGTTCTTGTTTTTCTCTACTTAAAAAGCTACCATTCCTTAAACTCTCCAACTATTTTTCTTGGTGGCTTTCTTCCACAGAAGTAGGATTTCTAGGCTACAGGGTCCATTCAAGCTTCAGAAAAAGCACAGTGTTTCCTCTGAGGCACAAGTGTCTGTGGAGCTATCCGTGGTTCTGCAAATTTAGAAATGGGTTCATTTTGGCTTAGGCTGACCAAGACTGCTTAACTTGGCCTTCAGCCTCCTGTGTTAGAACTGTGGGGGCTCCCTGTGCCACTAAGACCCCTGCTGATTTAAGACCCTACAACCTCACAGGTACCTCAACTACCATGTCTACCCCAATATAATTCCTGGGACTCTCCGTTATCCATCTACCCTCGGGCATTTGACATTCAATTGTGCATTATTTAGGCAAGTGTTCACAACAGAGAAGACAAGGGTCAAGTAGTCTTGGGATCACAGACTGCGGGCACTGAGCTAGGTCCTGTCTCCCACTACTCCCCCCGCCCCTGGTCATTTATGCCCCTCTGCCCACATTCCCTACAATCTAGCCACAGCGTTCTCCTACCATCCAGGTTTGTGCCCACCTTGGGGCCTTTGTACCTACTGTTCCCTCTGTCTAGAATGCTCTTTTCCTAGAGCTTCAAATGCCACCATCTGATCCTCATGAGGACCGAGCTCATCAAGTGTTGCCTCCTTTAACAAGCCTCTCTGACCCAGCCATCTCATGCCAGCCCTCCCCAACCACTATTCACATCACCCAGGTTTGTTTCTTCACAGCACTCCTCACTACAGCTACATTTTTTCTCATTTAATTTTTAGTTATAGTATGTATTATCTATCTACACCACTAAGCTCAGTGAAAGCAGGGTCCTTGTTTATCTCATTCACTAATGTATCCCCAGAGCTTAGAACACTCAATAAATATTTACTGAATACATAAATAGAACGGACCCTAATGTTCATTCTGTCCAGTTTCCTCAATTTATACAAGTTAAGTGACTTGCCAAGTCACACAGCTAATTACCTCAATCCAGGGACAATAAGCTCTAGGTGACTACTGACATTCAGGAAAAAATATTCTCCACAATATAGAACTTAGAGTAACTCACGGACCAACAGCCCTTATGAAAACACAGTAGTGTAAGTTGTCTGAATGAACTGACAGTTCCTTAGTGACATGGATTTAGAGACAGGATTTATTGGCATAAAATTCTGCTAGGAGAAAAACAAACCAAAAACAAGCCTATTTTAGTGTCTCTCCTAATAATTGTATTCCTTTTTAATATGTTCAACAGCAAAAAAGATAATCTCAAACATGTAGGATTAACCTGTTAAAAATCAGTCAAAAAGTATATGTCTTTCTAAAAATGAAATGTGACTTACACTTTCAACAAT